CTCAGGTGAGTCCCAATTTTCGAGACAAAGAGTGACAGGGTGAAAGGAGAAGAACCTCTCGCCGGTACACATCTACAATAACACGAGGAGGACAGACGCGCGATGTCTGCTGCCGGACACAGTGAGAAGGAGGCAACGCACGCCCCCCTTCATCCTGCCCACTGGGAGCACAGAACCAGTGTGTCTCATTTGTTCAGAGACCGTGGCACTCATTAAAAGTGCCAAAACGCCACTATGAGACAAAACACAAAGTGTTTGACCAAACATTCCCTCTCAAGTCAGAACTGAGGTCACAAAAAATAAGCAGTCTCAGAGCCCAATATAATCAGTCCACCAGGATCAAAATTAAAACTAAATATCGTTCCAGGACAGGCTAACCGAGGCTAACCAATGAGTTAGTCCTTTAGTTAATGTCCTGCGTGTGTGTATGAGAATGGCCCTGACACCATTTCAGCCCAGATCTTAACTCCTGGCAGGACAAGCTCAAGCTCAATTCTCACACTGAATACAAAAAAGTGAGTGAGGGACTGAAATATAAGAGGGAAAGAGAGAGAAACTTTAAAACTGTTCAATTGTTATGATGTGTAAAGACTGATATTGTTCTATAATCGGCTTACATCTACAAGTCATGATGTGAAACGGTTAACAAAGACAAAAGGAAACTCAAGCTGCTGCTACACTTTATTTTATTTATTCAAAATTAAGCACTTTTAAGATGCACATATTTTTAAAAAGCTATTTTATTAGTTTTCTCTATTTTATTTTTAAATACAGCCCGAGAGGAACATTACACATATCCACAGTATTTACTGTATATCTGTATAGTTCAATGGTAATTGACAATAAATATTGTTGTTTTTGAATTGTACTTTCTTTATTTGATTGGCAGTCAGTCACTTCCATATCACACTAATTCATAAAGCAACTTAGACATGTTGATGTTCCGGACCTTTACATGGGGAGATTTTCTCTAACTGGACCTCGCTGAATTTTAGTTGAATAGTACATAGGTGAACAAAGTACTTGACCTTGCAAGTACTAAGAGATATATTGGATAACTATCGTACACTTATGTCCAAGTTATATCCTAAACATTTATACATGGTGTTAGGGTAGGTAGTTTTAATGACTTTGTATACTGCAGACTCCAGGTGGAACTAAAGTCTGATGTAAGTGTTGATTATATTTCACATCATTAATCCAAAACTGTAACTAAAGGTGTTAAATGCTTGTAGTTGAGTAGAAGTACAAAGTAGCATAACATTGATATACTCAAGTAAAGTACAAGTCTCTTAAAAGTGTACTTAAATCTACTCAGTTACTTTACACCACTGGTAATGATTGCTAGAAGCTAAGACCATGAAGGAAAATGAGCGGCAGTGCTATGTTAACACAAAAGTCTACCCTTCTGCCCATTTTCACAATACATTTACGAATATATATCTAACATCCTGACTATAACGAGTTTGTGCCAGGCTATATGTTATCTTTTGTTTCTATTTTACCGGCTATAAAACAGCGAGTTTGCATCGTCAAAAGAAGCCAATGATAGCTCAACACCTGTTAGCTACTAGCTAGTGAGCTAACGTAGCTTCTGTTTCTAGTAGCAAACACGCGTTTTCAGAAAAGATGAGAAAGGTTTTATAACATCACCTTAATTTGAGGGGACTTGTTATCCAAAGAAAAACAGATATCCCAATCGTCGTTGCTACCTTCGCTTTCATCTCCAGCCGGGAAGGAGTTCGCAGTTATGATGTCCATAGTTAATTGTTAGCAGCTAAGTGACTAACGCAACGATTACACCGCGCAGGCGAAGTTTTTTTTTTTTTTTCAACTTTATTGAGCAATTATTCCAATACATCAGAAAAAGGAAGAGGTGGGAATTAACTGAGTACATTTACTCAGGTACTGTACAATTCAGAGGTAAATCGTGTACTTTTACTCCACTACATTTATTTAATACCTTAAGTTTCTTTACAGATCTGGATGAATGATTGTGTTAAAGCAGACTTTAGTTCCACCTGGAGTAAATCCACAAGCTACCCTGCAGTATACAAAGTCATTCAAACTAGCTGCACCTTTACCAGCTTTGAGAACACTTTAATGATCAATCATTATAAAACATATCATAATATTCTGAAATGAACCAATCTGCACAATGACTACTTTTACTGTCGCTACTTTAACTACAGTATATTTTGATGCTTATACTTTTCTACTTTTACTTGAGTAACATTTTGAATGCAGGACTTTTACTGTAACAGAGAATTCCTACACTTTGGTACTTCTACTTTTACTCAAGTACAAGAGCTGAGTACTTCTACTTTTACTCAAGTACAACATCTGAGTTCTTCTACTTTTACTCAAGTACAATATCTGAGTACTTCTCCCACCTCTGATATACGCATTTAACTGCCGGACCAAGAAAAAAGCTATGGAAAAATTATTTTTTTGCATTTTTTTATCAAATGGGCCACAAATAAGCACAAACACATTTTTTTTTTTGACTGACCACACAGTTTTGTTTTTATGAGCCTCTACCAAATGGTCGAGCTGGCCTTATGGTAAAAGTAATCATCATCATATACAGTACAGTATTTGTATGCATCAAACTCAAATAAAACACAAACTCAAATACATGTGTTTCTTTTATGGAAAATGAGCAATATATACAACCAGATATATTCATAAAAGATAATAAATTATAATTGTAAAAAAAAAAATATGGAAAAAAGTAATGAAAAGTGTTTTTAATGATACTTGCTCATCTTACTGTATATGCTGAATTGGCCTAACAGGAAACCACTGGCTTAACAGCAAATGTCTATATTCTGTGTTGGCCTAACTTGCTCATCTGTGTGCAATTTTGGGCTGAATGCCATGCATGAAAGGTGCTATAAAAATTATTATCACTCTTTCACTCTGAGACTCATAAGGCAGTACTAGATTTAGTAATATTACCATGAATCTAACCATTTATTTACCATATTTTATTGGAAAACATCTCTGAAACTCTGAAAAAGTCATATTGCTAGCTTACCATAAAAGGCCAATTCGACCGATTGGTTGAGCATATTTTCAAAAAAATAATTACACCCTTGTTAAAACTTTTTTTGTGCATCAAGTTATCTAATTATGTTCAGTCAATGCCCTGCCACTAAAATATGTCAAACATGATATGGTTACCTTACAAAAGTTGACCAAAAAGAGTGATTTCTTCAGCACTGATTTTTAGCATTGCCAACTTTCTCAGTTGAAGCTAGCTGAAGGGCATTCTGTTTGAACCACAGTGACATCTAGAGGTTGTTTTGTGCATAACACGTCAACCAAAGGGTAGAGCTGGCTGAATCAGATGGAGTTCAATTATTATTATTTTTTTCAACAAGATATGAAGACGCGAAATGTGCTCTACCAAATGGTGGTGCTGGCAGTTAAAATGTTAACTGTGAATGCTTCTATATCTTATGCTAGTTTGGTATCACTAGCATTTAGTCATCTGTTTCAACTCATGATTAATGTTAATGCTTTTGTTTTGTTTTTTTGTCCAAAGGCTACTCTGGATAAGTGGATATGGCAGGTGAGTGTTCTTTCTAGTGTACATCTCTCATCAATACAATCAATTAAATATTCCACTTGTTAATTGGATTCCTCATAACATATTAAATACAGGGTTTCATCTAAAAAATATTTAAAATGTCAGAATGTAATGTCATACGCCCATTGAAGTTTCTCAAGGTGATAAATGTCTCTATATTTGTCTGTCCAATTACCAAATGCTATTCAGTTTCATACTGTAACTGATATAAACCAGAAAAATGCATTAAACCCCAATATTGAAGGAGCTGAAAATATCATTTTCTTCTGACTGTTGCTTGTAAAATATATTTTTAAAAGAGTTTTGGTAAAACACTTACAGGCAGGATGTGCAGGTCCTTTTTAAATACATTAAACTTGGCATGCTGTATTTAAAAAGCAAGTTTCTAATGTAAATAATGAATCAAATGTCCCAGGATTGGTTCCTACCAAGGCTCAAAATAGATGGTTGGGTTCGGACTGTCATTATTTATAACGATGTATGCATAACTTACTTCTGAAACTTCTGAAATGTCATGCTTTGGGACGAAATGTTATCTTTCTGCAAGGGACAGTAATTGTCCAGCAGAGGTCAGTCTTTCCTCTAAGTCAGAGACACGTTACCTTATGTCCTTCAGCAGTAATGGGTGTAGGTTTTGCAACATTTTAAGAAGCACCCCACAGTTTAACTTCAATAACCTTTTTAAGAAGCAGGAAAAAATAGATATTGCAATTATTTAATTCCAACTCGTCCCATTAGTAATGGGGTAACTGTCCCTTTTCATTTGTTTATTCTGTATAATCCAATGTGTTTTTTAGGCAATTTGTCCTGCTTATTTTTATATTTTGATTCATGTTTGCACTATATGTGTATCCCCTCCCCCTTGGTCTTTCTTGAACATGCAGTACAGACTAGTCTTGGCCTTTGTGTGTGTTTTCATATGACACTGTTGGAGGTATAATGCAACTTAAATGTATGTGCAGGTCACGTCTCCATGTCAAAGCTAAAACGAAAGCTGCTCTCTTAACCACTATTTCCCTTTATTACTAAAAACTCATGGAGCTCATCTCCCGTAATATCATAAGTATTCATCAAACAAAACCCTGATTTGGATTTATTTTTTGCCTGACAGTATTTGTCTTTTTGTATCTTGGGCACATAGTTTGGGAGGTAATGAATACTGAGGAAATATAGCACAAACGCTAACCTGCTGCTACTGTACGTCACAGTCAAAAAACGTTGGATCAATATGAGCTAAATATTAAATTCCCCCAAAAGATTAACCCGAGCGATGTGTCACCGTTAGTCACTCCAGCTGAAGTGCTGACACTGAAGATAACACTCAGTTTGGGTGATATTGCGAAGTCTCACCACATCTTCACGTGTTATCTCTGTTCCCTGAAGGAATGTCTGGAGGTTTTGATCCTCCCTCTCCTGAAACTGTGAGTAACCTGAAACTGATAAAAAATAGTTTTAGATATCCTGGAACTGTTTCTTCTTTTTTTGTGAATGATAGTGAAGCTTAACAAAGCCACAACTAAAAAGTAGAGCAGCTTCTGGCAACTTTCAACTATCGCTTTCAGGCTTTGTTCTAGTTATCCTATCAGTTATAGTAACATAAGTAGCTAAAGGAGACTTCCCTCATGCTGTGTGAGCATACGTGTCCATGGAAATCAGACCACTTCATGCTCTTACTAACTTTCCATTTGTTTGGGACAATTGGTAGTCTGTGTTTGTTTTTTAAAGCAATTGTCTCCTTCATTGACCATCTCCAAGTGTTGAAAATGGTTGTTTTTGCAAGTAAGGGTGATTTAAAAACGGTGGTGGATACATGAAGAGGTTGTAATCTAAGATAAGCAATTTAGGCAAGACATATTTATTATATAGCACAATTCAAACACTTAGTTTTAAGCAGCTTTACATATACTCTCATTAAATCAATCCACAGCATCATATAAGTATTTTATTTTGTATTTCTTTGAACAGGTGAGGACTGAAATCATACAGTACAATCAGTTAAGAATAATAAAAATAATAAGTATAACCGTACTAAGTATAATGAATAGTACGGTCACAATGGATATGAAAGAGGTCAGACAAAAAAAAATACATTTTATTAATTTATTTTAAATTATTTATTTAGGGTCAAATAGTAATAGTAATAGTAAGTAGTTTTCTCAGTAACAGTTCAATCATTTTAGTGACCCAAACATATCAAACAAACCAACATGCAATATATAAGAAAATATACAAGCACAAATAATAATAATAATAATAATACATAAATACATTACAAAATGAACATAATAGTAAGTAATTAAAACAGCAGACATGGGATGTTTTCTGTGTTCCCAATATGTATCCCCCTCCTCCTTTTGAAGTTGGAGAATAAAGAGATATTCATAACTTTTTGATGATTAAAAAACCCTTAATAAAAACCAACATAAATCACAAGACTCACAAGTCTGAATAAAATCTATCAAAAGTCAAACTAAACGTGCCTGTTAAGGCATCAAAGTCACACCCAAATCTGAACATGCACGCGCATATTCCCCACTGACCTCACACGATGACTGTTCATCCTGCCTGCTTCTGTATATGGATCAATATCTGTGAGCTGAAGTGGCCTCATTTGGATCAACTGGCTTCACCTCTCCACTTGTTGCCACAATAAGCGACCTGATGCTCGTCAGCGTGGAAATGACGTGCACGTTTTTTGGCGAGCTCATAAATAAAGGATGGCCTGTCCTCTCACTGTCAGTCTGAAGGAGAGGCAGCAGAGGGAAGGTGGCAGCATTGGAGACGTTCACAGGACAGATATATATTTATATATACACCAGGGTTTTTTCTTTCGGAGGGGAGGAAGATATCTAAACCGTGACATCATATTTACCGGAGGCACTAAAGTGGAGGATAAAACAGGCGCAAATGTGATTTAAGGAACAGACTCAGGTGCAAAGAAAGCAAACTGGCGGCGCACTTAATATGCAGAAGTCACCAGTGGAAGATGCAAACTTCCTCTCCAAATATTTCTTCTGGTAAGTCATGTTTTCTACATCCTTTGATTATCTCTGGACGGCAAGGTGCAGCTGCTCATTTGGTGACTTGCGCATTTCTATATTGAGTAATTAACGACTAAATCACTTGCTACATATCTGTATTTGGTCATTGTAGAGTTTTAAGCTTTTTTGGCGGTGTTTTGAGATATGTTGTGCATGGGCTCAGGTAAACATATGATTCTGTTTTCTGATTGACAAGTTTGTTTATGATGTATTTGCGTCGTAATTTGCTTCCAAATAAGAGTAAATCAATACAAAAGTGCACTGGGAAGTAGATTGTTAGCTTACAAAATGCGCATTTTGCAGATTAGCCTGTGCGCAAAAAGTACGTTTTGCTCCGTTTAAGTGTGTTCTAGAAAACGCTGTCAGGTGGGAGTAGGCGCACCAAGGGTTTGCTAACTCATCAATATCTGATAGCATTGAATCAAAAAGTATTATAAACGCTAATAGCATTACAAATGTGACTTTATAAGCAAACATTAACATCACAGGACGTTTTGATGAAAATGATGTGTTTGAGAATGTTTGCTTTGATATCTAAGTTTTCTATGGTTCAATCATTTGTGTGATGTTAGAATATCCTTCCTCTTAAATTACAACACACACTGATTTCAGTTTAAGCTGCACTGAGCTCTAATGAAAGGTCACCCAAAGAAAGAAGCAGACTCCAAAAGTCAGATGATGTAATCTCCTTTATGTCACCAGCCTTTCTTTAAATGGTTCAGCCACAGAGACTAGCAAACATCTGACTTGATGTCCGCTCTCTGTCATTATTCTTACTCTGTTACAACCAACACCAGACTAGAGCTCCCAGACACTCAACAACAGTGGCTTTCATGCCAAAGGGTTACCCTCCAACCACAAACAAACAAATACATCTGATACAAGTAATACTGAATCACTTAAAAAGGTATTTTATGTGTCTTCAATGTACTATACTTACAAATAAATGGTGGAAGAAGTATGGCTCTTAAAAATGTCCATTAAACGTAAAAGTTATGACTCGAAAATGTTATTTAAGTAGAAGTACATAAGTATTACTAGCAAAAAGTAGTAGTAGTGGAGTAAAAATGTACATTATTTGCTTTTTTTTTTAACATGTATTAGAGTAGAAGTATATGTCACATACAATGGAAATACTCAAGTTAAGTGCAAATATGTGAAAATAGTACTTAAATACAATACTTAAGTAATATTTATTTGCGATATTCCACCACTGGTACACTGAGTCTTACAGCAGCTGATGGTAAGTTAATGCATTCCTATGTCCACTCACCAAAGAGTCCGTTTTGTTTTGTTTATTTATTAGCATATTGTCAAAGTGCACATACACATATGTTGCTGTAGATGTCCTACCTTCAATCAGTTGATACCCAGCCCTCTGGTGTTCCTGCAGGTGGACGTCACCGCTGCTCAGAAAAGGCTTCAAGAAGAAGTTGGAGCTGACAGATGTGTACAAGGCTCCTTCGTTTGATCTGGCAGACAACCTCTCCGAGAGACTCGAAAGGTTTGTGCACTTTTAAGACTTGTTTTTGAATGTTTACATCGCAGCTGATTGGAAATGGTAGTCTGTCTTGTTCTAAGGCTTCAGGTATAAGTCTAGTCAATGGTTTAATAAAGTTAAGACGTCTTGTTTTCGATAAGCTATCAAGAAAGTTTCCGTCAGTATAAAGAAAAAAAAAATTAACTGCAACTTTAGAAAGAAAACAGGCTGTCTTTTACTGCTTAGGTGGGAATACTGTATTAGATAACAGGTCGATCTGGATGTTAGCATCTCATGGTTTCCTGATAAAGTACTAATAGGATTTGTAAAATTGATTTAGGAGAACATAAGTTCTGTGTCAAAGTTATCCCATTTAAGATAATAGTTTAACAACATAATCTAAACACCACTTTTATGAACTTTGAACGCAAGAACGGTCACCTGATTTCAAGAAAACATAGCTAAGCTAAAGGTGGCTAATGATTGCCATGATGCCGTCTCATTTATTCATTTGTTGGTAACCAATGTTTGTAAGACACAAAGAGTGAGGTATTGACTCCCGATTTTATGTTGTAGAACAAAACCCATTCAATTACTCATTGACTAAGTGCGGAAGCAACCCGGAAGTGCTAAAATGCTGACTCATTTCCAGGTTTTAGGACTCATTCCTGCGCCACTGTATGGCAATTCTCTGACAGGACCATGAGACTGCTGATAGTTGGAGATAATGTTTGAAGTGAAGAGTTTACTAAAAAATGCAGTTTGTTATCTTGAGAAACAGCATATTTTCTCTTAAAGTTACTAAGATGATCACCCTAAATAACCCATATTTACATGCGTCCATTTCATTGATTGTTTTGGCACTTTTCAAATTGACTGCTACAGGGCCGGCCCTCGGCATAGGCAGTATAGGCGAATGCTAAGGGCGCATCAACCCATAGGGGGCGCCGAACATTGGGGATAAAAAAAAGAAAAAAAGTTAGAAATTTAAAAATGTCATTGCACAATTTCCCGATTTTGGATCAACAAAGTATATCTTATTATCTTATACTAACAGAACTACGCATATATTGCATACAGCGCCCATAAACTATGGCACCCCCCCAAAAAAAATCTAATTGAACCGCCCCAGCCCCAGTAAAAACCAGAGGTTTATGTGAAATTGTTCTTTTTTTTGAAATAATGGTTTTAGTGTGCAATTATAGGTTTTAATTTTGTGTTTGTGTTAATTTAAAATGAATCAAACTCCCCAAAAACATATACAGCTTCTGTGTGCTTTTATTAACATTGGAATTTACTGTGTAAGCGTCCGCGGGGGGGAGAGCTTTAGAGAGCTCTCTCCCGAAAGACTGAGCGGCTCTGATAACCTCAGCTCAGTGAGGTAAAGGCACCCCTTTACAGTATATGATCATTATAGGTATAAAAAAATAAGAGAATAGATGAAAAACAGGTATAAAATACTATATGACAGTAAAAAAAAGTTGTTATTAATAAACAAGAATACAGTTTGAAAGGGGAGTGATTTGTAAAATATCCATAACGAAAAAGAAAATCTGCTTGCAGTTCTGTTTAATATGAGTGTTTAGAGATGTATCCATAGATCTCCTCATGTTGCTCTCAAAGTGGACCAGATTGATGCTTTTGACTTCAATATTTTTTAAAAAGTCTTCCCGGGGGTGCATGCCCCCGGACCCCCCTAGAGGAGGTGAGGTCCCCCCCTCACTTAAATCATGTTCAAATGGATAGGATACTAAATAGAGTTGCACACATCTTGTTTCCATATATTTCTGTTTTCTCATGCCACAACCGTGCATGTGCGAGTCATAGTGAGTGTCTACATTTGGGGGGGGGGGGGCGCCAGCTAAAATCTTGTCTAGGGCAGCAAATTGGTCAGGGCCGGCCCTGGACTGCTAGCTTAACACAAACAATGTCCTGCACAAGTCATAAATCTTAAAGCATTCATAGTAATCATCAGATTTGGGCTTCAGAACATCAGAGGTCTAAAGGCTTCTTTGGGAAAAAGCAATTTTGCACCAATGACTCGTAATCGCTCAAATTGGCAGAAAATATAACCAAATGCAAAACAGCAACAAGTCAGTTTATTCTGTAGAGCCCTCTCACATCAGACATGTTGACATGTTATAGCAGGAAAGCACAGGGGTAAATAATAACATCAACAAGGGCTCAGCTCCATTTAAGAAGCCATGACTGCAGAGAAGCATGCATATTATCAAGGCACTCCTACTGTATATGAAAGTAGCCATCATTACTGTTATTATTTACACATGCTTTTCCTGCTATGATACATTAAAGTCACTGCTTTGAAAATAACTCTCATGCTACCAATCGTATGCCAACATGTAGGGAAAAACTCGCATTTCAATTAAGACATTTCAAGCCCATTTTCAAGAGCTGGACGAAAGGCAGTGAATGCTGGACCCTGAAGCCAACCCTGCAAAGGTCTCTAGACGGATGCTACACCAGAATGTTGCGAGCAGTACTTAACATCAGCAAGAGTGTACATGTAACCAACAAGATCCTGTACGAGGGAATACCAAGGGTGAGCGAGAAAATTGCAGCCAGGAGAATGAGACTAGCACGACATCGCCAAAGGTATCAAGAGCTGCCAGCCGGCAAATTGGTGCTGTGGGAACCAACACACGGGCATCGGTCACGAGGACGTCCCGCACAAACATACGTGGACGTACTCAAGAATAATGCTGGAGCACAAAGTACCAATGAACTGGCCAGATGTATGGAGAACCGGGATGACTGGAAGCAACGACCGAGGGCTCGTCTGAGGACGACCTAGAGAGGACGAAAGAAATAATGAAAGAAATGGCAGAAATGCTCTAGATATGTAACTTTTTACTGTATCAACTACAACCATATTTATATACACAGATGCATGACCATCGTACATGAGTTTAAATCCTTATGTTGGATGATTTTGCAGGGAAAAGTGGAACCTAGCAGCGTGCTATCATGATGTTTTCATACGTGACCTTTGCATGTGTTTACAGTAGCCATGCTTCCCTCTGTGGGCTGGCATTTAAACAGGGGTAGACATAAACCAAACCTGTGTGTGCCAAACAAACACCCCGGCAGCCAATGATGGACAAGGTTAACTCTTCTCTCCCTTTCGATTCGTTTTTGATCTCCCTGGGTTCATCTTACTCTTTTGTTTCCTGTCTCATACCACTCTTAATCTTTTCTCTCACTACCTGTTTCCTCAAATTAAATGAACCTTGGATTTGCTTTAATTTCTTACATCTGGCATGTTAACGAATTAGCCAACGTTCACTTTTCATGAATCCTTTTACTCTTCAAAGTAGTTATTAAACATCTTGAAATAAAACATGGAGTGGTTTAAAATGATATTTGTAAAGCCTTGTCATGGCCAAGTCGTCATGACATAACTTCAAGTGCCTAATTGAATGGATCTATTAAACACAAGCTTGTTTTAGCTATTTTATTCCCTTTTTCTGTCTCTCTTTACTTCAAATGGCACATTTAAATGATTTTTTTCCACCATGTTTTTGCTTTCTACTATTGACCCCCCTCTCTTCATCTTATCTTTTACTGGTCTAAAAAATCTCTGAGCAAAGAGCAATATCTTTATTGAGTTATTGCATCTTTTTCACAGACATTGACAATAAGCGAATGACACATGGATAAATGAGTCGGCGATCCATCCATAACCTAAATATAGGCTACAAAACCAAGACAAGTGGTACACCATTGATACATTTGTATTTCTTTAACGAAAAAAGGAAATTTAAATACTCATGCGTCTCCTTTTCTTTTATTTAACTTTGCCTAACAACGGCAGCCTCGCCTCTCGGTTACCGGGGCCCCGCGTCACGATGAATGGTGCCAACAAGCCGGTTAATGTAAATGGATGTTAAAAAGCCGACCTTTAGAGAGGGCCCGGTGCCCGCCGGGTGATGAATGAGAGGCGGTGGGTGATTTCGCTTTCACTATTCCGATCAGGCAAACAGTGAAGGCTTCTGGGAATGTGAACTTTAGCTTCCATTAAAACATGCTGTGTACCGTCAGCCCTCCATCAGACTCGGTTCAGCTCAGTCCAGCCTTTCCAGCATGGGGAGGATTTCTGTGTTATGGCTTAAACGTTTCTAAAGCAGCCACTTCCAACATACGGGGGTGTGATTTCAACGCACAAATAATCTAGAACCATAATCAATTTTTCAAGATGAATCCATTTATTTTCCACTGCATCATATCTCTCCTTCTCAGTGTGTCTGGTGTGTTGCAATCCCACCCCCGTATGTTGGAAGTTGCTGCTCTATAGAAACGTTTAAGCCAGTACACATCAGTTGAACTGGTTTAGCTTCCCCCGTCTAAAACCAACCCCTTCCCCATAAACAGACATAATATAGCAGATAGGAGACCAAGGGGTGTCAACAAATATATTCGGGGGCGTAAACAACTAAGGTGAGTAGATACATATTCAACAAATAATATCTGTAGGCCATGTATACTAATAAGACAAGACATGTTAAACAATTAAAATAAAAACTCATATAATAACCTCCGTTAAATGGCTCCTACAATTTCATCACACCAAAACAAATTGGCATTGTGCAAATCAAGAGCGAGAAAGAAATTGAAGTTAAGAAAATGTTACCCCATGGAAACTAGTGTAAATTAAAATGTTAGAATTGAAATAAATGCAGGAGTTTATGTTGAGTACAATAGGCCGTGAAAGGCTACATTGCCATAGTCTGAGATTGCTAATGAAACCATTTACAAAATATAGTTACGAGTATGTCAAAAAACTATTAAAAACATTGAGATATACTAAGAAAGTGTCCTTGCTAATACACCTAACCCCAAATTGCTCCCGATAGCATGTCCAACGATGCGTGAATGTTGGTTTCCCCTTTTATGGCACCCTTTGCCTCTGTATGACGGGGTGTGAAAGCGTTAATGCTGATTTGTACGTGTACAAAAAGTGCATTAAGAGTTGAGAAAACTGGAAAAGCTCCATATAAATGCAGCAT